GCCCTGCCAGTTCTGTTTTTAAATTCAGCATCAAGGATGGCAGGGAGATGGGCATGTGGGGATGTGCTGAGGTACTGTTCAGCACCAAGGGCAGTGCACGTCTGTACACAAGGGATGTGCTGGGGTATGGGCTTCAGCACCAAGGACAGTGGGCAGCTAGCCATAGCAGGGGTGCTAGGAGTGTGGAGTTCAGGATCAAAGACAGTGGGCAGCTGGACACAAGGAAGCTCTGCTGGTCCAGAGATTGGGATTCAAGATCTGGTGTAGACTTGGAGGATGAGAGCTGCACAAGAGTCATCCAGGAGGGACTGCCCAGGAGGCAGTTTGCTCTCCGTTTCTGAAATGTAGGAGAGAAGTCTGATTGGAGATATCAGTCTTGGGGATATCTTTGGAGTTGTCAGCTGAACCCCCAGGAGAGGATGAGATTATCTGAGAAAGTATGTGGAGTGGGGAGGGGGCGAACTCTCCGGTGAGCAGCATCAAGTCCGTCATACTTCCCTGTTCTCAGTGTGCCATGTCGTTTGTTCATGTCGCACCTCTCATGTTATTTTACCCCCTTTGTATTTCGCATCTCTCTTTTCTCAAACAGGGACAGCCTTTCGAGCACATTTAATATGTATTCTACTGATATGTTTGCTTCGATGTATTTGTATGCTTAAAATCGCATGGTGGTGCTGTGTGTGATTTGCTTAAAATCGCATGGTGGTGCTGTGTGTGATTTGCTTAAAATCGCATGGTGGTGCTGTGTTTAAAATCGCATGGTGGTGCTGTGTTAAAATCGCATGGTGGTGCTGTGTGTGATTTGCCCAGATGATGCTCTGCTCTGAATCTCATCTGTTTCTGTCTCTTTGCACTCAACACTATGTTTTTCAACTTTAACCACATCCTTACATGTGCAGTGCGTTCACTGTTTCTGACTCCTGCTTCTAACTCACTTTTGTGTAGTATAGACGTGTCTATGTTCTTAAAAAATATATGGTAATACTGTGCCTATTTAATTTGCATAAATGATACTGTGCTCTAAACTTCATTCCGTTTCTTGCTTTCTTTCACTCGGCACTGTGTTTTTAAACTTTAGCTACATTGTTAGTGCACTACTTCTGACTACTTCTCCTAAATTTGTTTCTTTAACTGTATCTGTGTCCTTGAAAAATATGTGATGTTGGGTGTGTATTTGATTGGCATAAATGGTACCATGTCCTGGGCCGGCCCAGTGGCGCACTCGGTAGAGTGCGGCGCTTGGGAGCGCGGCGGCGCTCCCGCCAAGGGTTCGGATCCCATGTAGAGAGCGGTCCGCTCACTGGCTGAGCGCAGTGCAGGCGCGACACCGAAGGCTGCGATCCCGTTGCCGGTCGCGGTGCAGGCGCGACACTGAGGGTTGCGATCCCGTTACCGGTCACGAAAAAAGACAAAAAGGAAAAAAAAAATGGTACCATGTCCTGAATTATATCCTCCTACAGGTTTCAGCTTAATTGTCATTCCCCAGGGAGCCCTTCCCTCATTCCTGCTGCATCAGGTCTCCTGCCTATACATGCCCAGAGGAAGGGATATGTTCCTGGTCACATTGGTCTGCTCGTACCTGTTCAAGGCTAACATTTATCATGCACTAGTCTGCACTTGGCAGTGCACCTGGTACTTCTCTCTATCATCCTCAGAACAACTCTGAAGTGAGTGCTGTTATGATCTGAGGCACAGAGAGCTTAGGTAGGCCAGGCCACACGACTACTATGTAGAGGCTTTTGGGCTCAAACTGGGGCCATTGAACTCCAGAAATGGCTCTTTCACCTCTGTGCCACTTCCCAAGTGTGGGGGCTTACTGTGGGTGGATTGATGGTTCCTGAACACAGCTTCCCTTTACTCAGCAAATACTAGACTTCTGGTCAAGATGGCGGAATAGATGGTCCCTAGCATCACTCTCTCCCACAAATCATCTGATTTAAACTATAAAAACATAACATCAAATGCATACAGAACGGGGAGACGTCCAGCGGGGGAGGCAGAAGCTCCATGGAGACCACATGCCCTGTGGGGCCGCCATCGCAGGATCCAGCAGATAGGCTTCACCGCTGCCACCCGGCTCCATTCCCAGCCCGGCCCAGTGCGCACAGAGTGGGGAGACATCCGGCAGGGGAGACAGAGGCTCCACAGAAACCACACATACTGTGGGGCCGCCACTGTGTGATCCAGCAGGTAGGCTTCACCACAGGCACCCGGCTCCATTCCCAGCCTGGCCTAGTGCGCATGGAGCAGGGAGACGTCCGGCAGGGGAGGCGGGAACTCCACGGGGACCACACTGCTGCCGTGTGATCCAGCAGCCCGGCCCAATGCGTATGGAGCACAGAGACGTCCAGCAGGGGAGATAGAAGCTCCATAGAGTCCACACACCCTGTGGGGGGGCTGCCGCCACGCAATCCGGCAGCAGTTCGGCCCAGAGCGCACAGAACAGGGAGAAGTCCAGCACAGAAGGTGGAAGCTCAGCAGAGACCACACACCCTGCGGTACTGCCCTGTGATCCAGCAGCCCGGCCGAATCCAAGCTGACCAGAGAGGTGGCTCCCTGGAGAGGCCCAAGACCCGAGGCAACCACACATGCAAGGCACTGGTGGCCAACTGAGCAGTCACTGAGGTAGCCATACCAAATTGGCAACTACAGCAACATCTTAGTCAGTCAATAGTGTCAGACCTGTGGACTGTGAAACCCCCTGCCACAATGAATAAACATCAAAGAAAAGACACCAGAAACATGAAAAATCAAGAAAGTACACCACCCAAAGATAATAAATCTCAAGCTCTAGATCCTATAGAACAAGAAGCCCTTGAAATGACTGACAAGGAATTTCGAGTGATAATTCTAAGGAAACTGAATGAGATACAAGAAAACTCAGCTAGACATCATGATGAAATGAGGAAAAGTATACAGGACCTGAAAGAAGAAATGTACAAGGAAATCAATGCCCTGAAAAAAAATGTAGCAGAACTTGCCGAACTGAAGAAGTTATTCAGTGAAATATAAAACACAATGGAGAGTTCAACCAGCAGGCTTGCGGAAGTTTAAGAGAGAACCTCTGAACTTGAAGATGGGCTGTTTGAAATAACACAAGCATACAAAAAGAAAGAAAAAAGAATCAAAGGCATTGAAGAAAATGTGAGAGAGATATCAGACAACTTTAAGCGCTCAAATATCCGAGTCATGGGTATTCCAGAAGGGGAGGAAAAAGGAGATTGCATTGAAAACATATTCAACAAAATAGTGGCAGAAAACTTCCCAGTTATAGGAAAAATCACAGATCTTCAGATCCAGGAAGCTCAACAATCTCCAAACATATTCAACCCAAAAAGGTCTTCTCCAAGACATGTTGTAGTCAAATTAGCAAAACTCAAAGACAAAGAGAGAATCTTAAAAGCTGCAAGAGAGAAACGTCAAATCACCTATAAGGGAGCCCCAATCAGGCTAACATCAGACTTTTCATTACTCAGCAAATACTTACCAAGCACCTACTATGTACCAAACTCTGTTCTAGGCCCTGGGGATACAAGAGTAAATAAGACAAAAATCCCTGCCCTCAGGGAGCTCACATCCTGGTGGAAGAGACAGACAGTAAAGAGCTAAAAAGTGAAACACACAGCATGTCAGAGATCAGACTGATGTGGGCCATGGGGCCAGACCACTGGGTATCCACCAGTGGGACTGTCAGGGTGTGTTCTAATGTCCAGGCCAGGTCTCACAGTGATGGTGCCAAGTGAAGTGCCTCCTAATCCTAGATATTAAACCACATCGTCTCAGTTAGGCGCTTATGTGCTCCTGACATTACTAAAAAAAGAGGGAAAGATAGGCCTTCAGCTCCCAGGCTTTGCAGGCAACCCCTGTGTCAGAAACCAGCCTCAGAACCCACTAGAACCCACTCAGAACCCATTGTCCCATTGTCTTCAAACTTATTTTTACACTTATTTTCTAGTATGACAGATGGCGCTATTTTTTCACTCACAGCAGTGACACAGAGGTTCCTTTTGAAACGAAGCCAGGTAAAAACAACGAGTCACAGAATTAGTAGGTCAAGTAGAGTGAGCACATGGCACAATGGCTAAGGTGTTATTTGTTCCTGAAGTTTGTGCAGTGCTCCTTTATACACTTCTTTTGTGTTAGTTAGGGGCAAGGCTGAGCTGCCCTTACAAGGAGACAAACACTACAGCTTAAACAAGGTAGATGCTTACTTCTCTCTCAAAGGTTGTAGGGGGCCTCAGCCCCTTTCAACACATATGCATCCTCCTCTGGGTCCAAGCTCTGTTGCCACCATCTCCCAGAAACAGTATGCATCGTGGGTGCTCAAGAAATAGTTGTGGAGTGAACGACTGACTAGGAACGAGTGCATGAGCCAGCCTTGGCTTCTGTGTGGACACAGAGGTCAGGCAGACATGGCTCAGCATGGGGCGGTTCCCAAGCTGGGCGGAGACACACAGACAGGAAGCACACATTGTGCAGGAAGGTGGAGGTAGCCCCAGGCACTGTGGGAGCAGGGGGGAGGCATACCACCCAGCTGCTGGCTGCTGGAAGTCTTTAACCAGGAGATGCCTGACCCAGTCTGTAGAGAGTACAGTTTCTCAGGAAGGCAAGGGGGTGGCAAGATTTCTTGGCAGACAGGGCAGCACATACTTGAACTGTCTCTGTTCATTCATTCATTCATTCAGTACCTGTTGCCTGAGGGCATACAGGTGCCAGTCCTCGTGCTAGAGACCCAGATGTGGGTCAGCTCAGGCTACCTCTGACACTCCACTCTTGTCATTAGTCCCTGAAGCTTCCCTGGATTGAATCCACTCTGCCCTCTACCTCCCCTAGCTCCTGAGGATAGTTTTATCCCCCTTTTCACATCCCTCCCAACTAAAGAGACTTTTAGTAAATGTGATGTGCTTCACAGTGAAGATCTTCACTCACCAACATGGTGCCGGGTAAATAAAAAGGTCATAGTAATAATTTTAATATCAGTGATATCAGCATGGATAACAGTAATTCCAGAGCCCCAGCTCCTGACCACAACCGTAGAGGGCTGGGCACATGAAAATGCTTCTCAGAGGGGCTGGCCAGTTAGCTCAATTGGGAGAGCATGGTGCTGATAACACCAAGGTCAAGGGTACGGATCCTTGTTCTCACCGGCACCTAAAAAAGGGGGGGGG